TTCTTTTATTTCAAAAGAGTTTCTGGCTGAAACAATCGAATCACCACTTATAGGGAATGTTCGTTGAACTTTTATTTTGTAATCAACAAAATAACCGATCTAATATAAAACAAAATTTCTTTTTTTTAATTCATAATTTTTTCTTTTGGATTGGATGTTATGAAGATGATGTGTTTTCTGAAAAACGTTTTTACTCCTTTGGCTTTATGGATGTCCTACTGTCTTAAAATAAATCGATGCACAGTACTGTCACTTTAAATTGATGTAGGGAGAACAAAAGGTTTTATTTCTGTGCACGCCTGGATATGTACTGTAAAGATAATTTACACCATCCTCACTGGATCTTTGCTTGTTTTCTTACAGCAGACATATTTTCAGTGTTTTCTTCACCAAACTGAACTTGCTCCCCTCCTTGCCACTCGTTGATTCATCAAAGAATAACACTAATATTCTGCGATACGTGGAGGTATTGATTTCCATTCATCCATTATCTTTACCCGCTGCTTCCTTTTCGGGTCGCGGGGGTCACTGGTGCTCATATCCAGCCATCACTGTGCAAGAGACGGGGTTTGGAGTTACTTAACAAAAATAATTTCTTAGTGGGAGACAGCTCACCCTGCAAGGACCCTCGGATGGCATTCTAACTGCCTGACCATAATTTAACTAAACAAAATCCAGATAACATCGTAACATTAGTCACAATCCACAACTGCCTTTTATGCTCATTGTAATATGATGTAATTTGTTTAGTCATAAATAAAATGTTATAAACCCTGGCACACCAATTTCCTGCGTTATCAATAAAGTTATTTTCTTATCTTACATTGTCTTATATTCTTCTTTAATCAGCCAGTTTCTCTACAGTTTCTTCACCAATACTGACGTTTGGTTCTCTTTCTTATCACCAGCTGCCAAAATGTGGAAGCCTGACTGTTACTAAACTATCTTGTAAACAAGAGGACTGCTTTTTATAAAACTTAAGCAGTCCCAGGATAAACACGTATACCTCACTGACTTGTGGGTTCAACTCAATTCAAGATGGCCGTCACAGCCAAATGACTTTAAAATTATAATAATGTCTATAACTCAGTCAGTTTTATAAATATCCAGGTAAAATTTGGTGTGATGCTAGTGTTGCTATTAACTAATAGAGTCATCTGTGTCTGTTAGCAAAATATCTCCTGAACCACTGGAGAGATGTTGATGAAATTTTCAGGGAATAATCTTTGGATGTAACTTTTTAACTGATAACCTTTTGGAGTCAACGCAATTCAAGATGGCTGCTACATCTGACTGCCCTTAAAAACACAGAAATGGTTATAACTCAGTCAGTTTTACAAATACTAAGCTAAAAATTGATGTGGTTGTAAATTAGATGAACTCCACTGAGCAGTATTATTGAGTGAAGTTTGCAAAATAATTGTAAATTTATCAACCAGATGATCTAAGTCACTGCTCTCTGATGTATTATTCTGCAAGACAGAGGAAATCAATTATGGAAAATAATCTTTAAATTTGGTCACAGCATTTTTGGATAAACACCTGCTAAAATGAAATTTACTCTCAGTGATTATGTAGTTGTTTAATGTAAACTCAAAGGTAATTAAAAATGGTCAAACAGAACAGAATTTTGAGGATGTATTATTACGTCCTTAATCTCTATGCCATAAATCAGAACCAGGTCACGGGTGTGATTATTTGGGTAAAACCAATTTATTCTATTAAATTTTTAAAGGCTATGCTTTAGCATCACTTTCAACATCTACATGAATATTGAAATCACCCATTATTATGACTTTATCAGTATTAGTAGTAAGTCAGTTAAAAAATCTGAGAATTCGGACAAAAACTGAGCATAGGAGCCTGGTGGACGATATATAACAACTAGTGAGAGTGGCCTTTCCGATTTCCATTTTGGATGGGATAGACTTAGAGACAGCGACTCAAAAGTATTATAACTAATAATTGGTTTTGTATTAATCAATAGTTCAGACTGAAAAATAGAAGCTATACCTCAGTCTCGACCTGTTGTTCAGGAACATCCATCCATCCATCCATTATCTTTACCTTCTTCTTCCTTTATTTTCGGGTTGCGGGGTTCACTGGTGCCCATGTCCAGCAATCGCTGTGCGAGAGGCAGGGTACACCCATGACAGGTCACAAGTCCATCACAGGGACACGAGACAAACAACCATTTACTCTCTCTCTCACACCTAGGGACAATTTAGAATTACCAATCAGCTTAATATGCATGTTTTTGATTTGTGGGAGGAAACCGGAGCACTCGGAGAAAACCCACGCATGCACGGAGAGAACATGCAAACTCCACCCAGAAAGGCCCCTACCAGGGTAACCTACTCGCTGAGAGGCAGCAGCTCTACCAACTGTACCACCGTGCTGCTGTTTTAGGAACATTAAATGTAAAATAATTTGGAGGAGTGGATTAATTTATATAAACAAAATCTTCCTGTTTTAGCTAGGTTTCTGTCAGACAGAATAAATCATGATGATCAGTTATCAGATCATTAACTAACAGGGATTTAGAGGAAAGAGATCTGATGTTCATAAACCACATTAAATTATTTTATTATTTTGTTCTGGTAAAGTAACTGTGTTTATTTTGACAAGAGTTCTTTTCATTCAACCTTTATTTATACAGGTTAATCCCATTGAGCCTCAGGGACTCATTTACAAGAGAGACCTGATTTTTTAACAAAGAGTGATGACAACATTAGACAATCATAAAAGATGCGTACAAATTCAAAACCGTCCATGCTCAATAATCCAGGTATACAATCCAACAATTTTCAGTCAGGTCATCTGGACAGTTTCTTTTTTGCTGAAACGTTTCACCTTCTATCCAGAAGGTTTCATCAGTCAAGGAAACACACAACACAAATCTGATTCTTCCCCCAAACAGCTTACTCCAAAGTGGAACAGACCAGTTATGTTGGTGCTAAGATGGTGTCTTTGGCATGCCCCCTCCTCAGTTGCTGGCCCTCTTCCTCATCAACAGTCATGTCAAACTGGTTCAAAACCAAAAAAGTCGATGAAGCCTTCCGGATGGAAGGTGAAATATTTCAGCAAAAAAAGAAACTGTCCAGATGACCTGACTGAAAATTGTTGGATGCGTACAAATTATTATTTTTTTAACAAGTTAAAATAAAATGGCAACCAAAAGGACAATCAAAAGGAAAAGTAACGAAAAAACAGCTAGATTTTAAGGCGGTGTAGAAAACTAAAAACAGGAACATGTCTGCATTGGTTTTTGACAGGAACTTAACAGATGTTTAAAGCCACTTAGAGAGGTCAAGGTCGAGAGTTTCAGGTCTTTTTGCAAGATATTCCAGGAAACAGGAGCAGAGTAGGAGAAGGCCCTTTTGCCTAGCTCAGTCTGCACTGAGGGAACACTGCAGGTAATAATGTCCTGAGAGCGCACGCTGTAGCTGCACTCACGCAGTGACAAGTAGGAGATGTATGAAGGCAACAGACCAAGAAGTGATTTAAAGATGAAAATGCACCAGTGAGAGAGTCTGTGTGAAGTTAATGATGACCAGTTAACCAGTGAATACAGGGTGCAGTGGTGGGTACGATAATCACAGCCAGTTATGAATCTTTAGTGCACCATGATAGACAGCATCCAACATCTGCAGGGTTCTTGTAGGAGCGTTCATGTAAAAAATGTCACCGTAATCAATGGAAGTAAGGAAAGTCACAGTTACAAGGCGTTTTCTAGCGTTCAGTTAAACAGGATCTATTTCTGAAAAAGAAACCCAGTTTAACTTTCAGTTTCCTTACTAGGTTTTCCACGTGCATGCAGCTTAAGAGATGTGAATTGACCAAGATACCCAAATATTTGTAGGAATCTAATTTGTAGGAAAAAAAGTTTTTTGTTTCTTTTTTTGTCATTTTATTTGTAT